GTCAAGGCAGCTTTCCTTTCTGATGTCCGTTTGCACAGATTCTGTTTCCCGTTTCAACATCCGATGGACGGTGGTGTGAGTCAAACTTAAGTCTTTCCCGGTCATTCTGACAGTTAACCGACGATCTGAACGATATTTTCATCGGTTCTTGAAAATGATTGTCTTCTGCTTCGTGCTTCGTCTTCAATCCCCTCTGTTCCGTCTGAAAATGCCTTAAACCACCTAAAAATCTGGGCTCTTGTCAAAACACTATTACCATACCTAACCAAAGTCATTAACATGGCAAAAACAAACTTTCTGAAAAACAATATATACAAAAACAAACAACAAAAATGTGGCAGCTCGTAAACAAATGCAATAAAATAAAGCCAGTACATATACATCTTGTAGAAAGTCAGACGACACATAAACTCACAACAAATGATAAAGATACAGCGAATGGATTTTGTAAGTATTTTTCAGAAGTAGGGGAAATACTGGTAAAAAATTTAACGCATCATGAAAAATTTGAAAGAACGCGAATACAAAATTCAATTTATGTGGCAACAACTGATCCGCTTGAGGTAAATAATATTATTTGCCAACTAAAGCTAAATAAATCACCAGGCCTTGATGGTAAACATCATACACGCTCAAACAAATCAGTAACAACATTTTAAGTGTTTTATCGTACCTCATCAATACTTGAATAGACAAAGCTATATTCCCTGATGCACTAAAAACAGCACTAGTAAAGCCACTACACAAATCTGGAGAAAAGACACAAATTTCCAATTATAGACTAATCTCACTACTAAGCATTTTCTCAAAGATTTTTGAAAAAGTTTTGAAGGCCCGTTTTACTAATTTTATTGCTAAATATATACTTCTATCTAAGCAGCAATATGGTTTCCAAGAAGGAAAATCCACGCAGTTTTGATGGAAAACGTGTATACCAGTCTAGACTTGGGAAACCCAACGGCCTGTGTCTTTATAGATTTAAAGAAGGCATTTGATACAGTTGAACACAAAGAATTACTAACTACTTTGCAGAATCTAGGATTTCGTGGCAAAACACATACTTTACTCAAAAGCTACCTTTCAGATAGGAATCAATGTGTGAAAGTTAATAATTCCATCAGCGACTTGCACCATGTAACATACGGTATCCCACAAGGTACAGTCTTAGGAGATATCCTGTTCAACCTACCTACCTACCACGGTAAAATTATTGGGTTCGCAGATGATACGGCTGTTTTTTATAGCGAAAAATCTTGGGATATCTTGAAGACTTTTAGGAAGAGGATCTCAGCTTCATTATAAGCTTCTTCAATAATAAAATATTAACAATCAATTATTATGAAAAAACTTAATATCTGACTTTTTCATGTGATGATAGGTACAGTCCCACAATCACTAACATACACATCAAATTACCACCCATAGATGAAGTATTAGTCCTAAAGCCAGCAAATCATATAAAATACCTAGGAATCATAATAGACAGCCACCTAAAGTGGGACAAACAAATAGAAAGCTTAACGAAGAGATTAAGATATCTTATACCAAAATTTAAATTTTTTAGGGAAATTCTTTCTGATAAAGACTTATGCACCATATACAAAACCTTAGTACAACCGTTGTTAACTTATGGAGTTTGGCATGGGGAACGGTGTTGAATAAATACTACAGGAAACTAGAAATAACTCAGAAATGGATTCTTAAAATCATGTTCCACAAAACTAACACCTATCCACCGATATGCTATATAAGGTCTCCAAGATATGTGATTGTAGGCAACTCTATTTTGAGAGTGTGTTCACATATATTACAAAACATAAGCATTTATTAAATTTCCTCCCACATGACCATCACACCAGATCTTTCCTAGGACCAAAAATATATAACTTAATCCCCCCTCAGATAAAAGATATTAAAAATATAAAGGTTATGAAAAAGCATCTAAGACTGTGGATTTTGGACCAGCTTAAGATTCATCAAGCGATTGATATCAAAAATATCTACTACTACTGAAAGCGAAAATCTCTCTCAAGATTATTGAAATTTCAAAATGAAAAAAAAATTGTATAAATCAAACTGATTTGAATTCTTACCTGCTGAATTATTGCATTTTATGACTTATTTTTACCAATTTTTGTTCGTGTCTATTCACCTAATATTGTCTTTTGTTTCAATATTGCCTCTATCCTGATTGCGTCTACAGTATATTCAGATAAGAGATAGACCGGACATAAACAAGACCACGTGATCATCGAACGCTGTAACATTCGGCAGGGACGTATTAAGAGTCACGCAGTACATATTTTAGATAGTAGATGCTGCTTTGCGTAACTTTGTAGTAAATTAGCACAATTCGATGTGTATACGATTGGTGATGGATATAGGATCATGTGGGGGTGGGGTAAGAAATATATAATGATGTAAATATACATAAGGGTTTCAAAATTTTCGCTTCGATTTCCAGCTTCGGATGCCGTCTGATGTTTGGTGAAATACAGTCGAATATAATCTCAAAATGGCGTTTAAATTAGCCTAAAGTAAAAATAATCGTATATCTCTTAAATTGCTTTTAGAATATTGATTAGTATATTTTTTGATTTCTAGGTAAATATGTAACCAAATTAAAACGTTCAAAACGTAAAAAAATGTGCATGGTTGAACATTGTCAGAAAGTAGATTCTTGAATAGGTTTTGCCAAAATGGGTTCAAAAATGTCAATAATTAATTAAAAAATACAGTAGCTTTATAATTACTTATAACGTTATAACTTACCGAATTTGATGAACGACATCTTTTATTGGAAAGATGAGCTTGATGAGCTTTCATCATCGCTACTGCCTGAAGCACCAGCGTCAATAATGAATGGCTCGACTTGTTCCTCTAAAATATTGTCCAGTTCCCACATTCTCTTTTCAACTTTGTCTTTCACGTGCTTAATACAGTTTTCCCATTTTTGCGCTGTTATTAATTCTAGTGCTTCTTTGAAAAGTCCTTTGAGGTCACAAAATTTAAAAGTTGTATTGTGCTTAGCTATATAATTTTTAACCTCTGCCCATATGAGCTCAATGGGATTGAGCTCGCAATGGTATGGAGGTAAACGGAGCACAGTTTTATTTTGACTTGCTGCCATTTCGTCAATGGCGTATTTTTGATATTCCGCCTTGTGATCCTTGACAATTCTTAATAATTGTACTTTCAGCATTGCTTCTTCAAAGTTGATATTTTTCGAGCGGAGCCAATTTTGAACATCAACTTTCCTTGAAGCCGTTGTTGGGACCTTCTCCATTCTTCGAGAATGATAAGGCGCATTATCCAACACAATTACTGCGTTTTCCTCTAAGTTCGGTAAAATTTTTGAAAACCACCGTTCAAACGATTCGCCATTCATTTCCTCGTGGTAATCTCCAGTTTTCTTAGACTCAAAGCACCACAGACCGTCAACAACAAATCCATCCTCACTGCCAATATGGCAGATAATGAGCCTTTTCCCTTTACCTGGAAATCGAAGTACTAACTGGTGTAGATTTATTTCAATAAGCGAACCTTTTTCAAATGTTTTCCTCACATTCAGCGAAAAAACATTGAGACATGAGTATCAGATTGCTATAATTGGGATTATTTAGTCATATTGAAAGAAAGAATATTGAACGTCGTATGATTACTCAGCGCTTCACAATTTAATTTAAAGTTATAAACCTTTAAAAAATGAATGATCAGGAACCTGAAATACGCGCAAATATTAATATTAACAAATTATAACTTTATAAAGCTTAAAGGATGAATTAAAATGATTAGAAATATTAGGAACGGTACACAATATAAAACTTAGTAACTTTTTTTAAGTTTATAATATTCGACATATTTTAAGATTATATTAAAAAATTATTGAAATATCGAAAACACATAAAAACATGGCTTAAAAAAGTTCTAACAAATGAAAATGACAATAAAACATCCACGCATTTTATCGAAAGTTATAAAAGTTTTGTTACTTGTAATATGTTTTATCTCCCCCTGGAATTAATGTTTAGAACCTTGTTCCCAAGGTTTGAAAAACATCCGATTGTTGTCTATTACTCGTATTTACCTGCTGGATTTTTTAATCCGGTGGACAGTCCATCTAGAAAGGCCCTCCTGGATGAAGTTACAGAATCATCAACCCATACTTTACTTGTAGTGTGTCCTGCGTTTACCCACGTTCCATCAAGGTAATAAATCTTCCTGTTTTGATTTCAATATTTCCCAATTTTTGTTAAATAATCCCTCCTCCATAGCACAATTTCTTCTCTATCGAGTAGTAAACTATTACGACCCCGTTTTTTCCATTTGAAATTTAAATGCTTCAGTAACGCATGGAAAGTTGATCGTTTGAAATTTGGCAACGTTGTATCTCCATTTACCTCCTGCAGTACTTTATCTATAGTAGGTATTTCATTCCTAAAGAAGAATTCATGCACTTTCCTCCTAATCGCATGCTTATCAGCTTCATCCAATGATTTAACAATACTTTTGCGATTTTACGGGTCATTGGCTCAGAAAAGGTGTGATTTTTTTTGTATTGTCTTAACACATTAAACACTGCAACAAGCAGTTGATAATAATAACAATCAATAACAAGGTATAACAATAACAACGACAAACTCAACAACTTAATAAGATAACAAACGAAAACGTCCAAAGAAATATCAAATTGCAATGATGCACACGACATACGTAACACGTCTGAACCTGAATGTGACTCTGCCTTGATACGACTGCTCTGCCGCTCGGCATAGGCATTTAATTGCGAATTGACCAATGAGGGCTCCTGTTTTACGTCGAGACGGCGGCGTTAGCGTGAAAATCACCCGAACCTTTTGTTTACATCCGGTCTATCTCTTATCTGAATATACTGTACGTCCCGATTTCGCGTCTCCGTCCCGATTGTGTCTTTTTAAAAATTTTACCAGGACTTGTCTAATAAATTTTATATATATTTTTTTTTGTTTTGTTTTTTTTAGTCTCAAGTTATTTATACATGAGTTCATGCCCAAGCATAAGTTTCTGCGAAATTTTTTTGGGTCCATTCGTTTATTGTATAATATTGTCTTTCATCTACTACTGCTATACTTTTTCTTTTGCAATAAACTTTATTATTATTACTTATTATTATTATTATTATTATTATTATTATTATTATTATTATTATTATTATTATTATTATTATTATTATAGGCCTACTGAAGTTTTTTAAAGGTTTCGGTTGCACTGTGCCCAAGTCTTAAGCAAAACCTAAAAGTGCACCGTTTCTCATTTTTAGAACACAATAGAAAAAACTGTTTCACAAAAAGAAAACGGACTACTAAATGACTCGAGCGAGTTCAAACTTGTACTGAGGGCGGATCGCATGTTCACCTGTCTGTCCTCTAAGCCCGGTACCTCCAGTGTTGCCAGATCGAATGTTACCATGCCAGTCTCATCACTTAATTTACAGACTTCGTATACCTATTTTTAGGGTTTTTCAAACATCAAATCGTTTGTAACTCAAAAACGGTCCACTTTAGAGAAAAGTTGTTCAGAATGACCCGAAAAATCTTACGATCTGATGAATGCGAAAAAACCGTTGTATGATTTGTTTAAAAAAAAATACGACATACGTAACACGTCTGAACCTGAATGTGACTCTGCCTTGATACGACTGCTCTGCCGCTCGGCATAGGCATTTAATTGCGAATTGACCAATGAGGGCTCCTGTTTTACGTCGAGACGGCGGCGTTAGCGTGAAAATCACCCGAACCTTTTGTTTACATCCGGTCTATCTCTTATCTGAATATACTGTACGTCCCGATTTCGCGTCTCCGTCCCGATTGTGTCTTTTTAAAAATTTTACCAGGACTTGTCTAATAAATTTTATATATATTTTTTTTTGTTTTGTTTTTTTTAGTCTCAAGTTATTTATACATGAGTTCATGCCCAAGCATAAGTTTCTGCGAAATTTTTTAGGGTCCATTCGTTTATTGTATAATATTGTCTTTCATCTACTACTGCTATACTTTTTCTTTTGCAATAAACTTTATTATTATTACTTATTATTATTATTATTATTATTATTATAGGCCTACTGAAGTTTTTTAAAGGTTTCGGTTGCACTGTGCCCAAGTCTTAAGCAAAACCTAAAAGTGCACCGTTTCTCATTTTTAGAACACAATAGAAAAAACTGTTTCACAAAAAGAAAACGGACTACTAAATGACTCGAGCGAGTTCAAACTTGTACTGAGGGCGGATCGCATGTTCACCTGTCTGTCCTCTAAGCCCGGTACCTCCAGTGTTGCCAGATCGAATGTTACGATGCCAGTCTCATCACTTAATTTACAGACTTCGTATAAGTATTTTTAGGGTTTTTCAAACATCAAATCGTTTGTAACTCAAAAACGGTCCACTTTAGAGAAAAGTTGTTCAGAATGACCCGAAAAATCTTACGATCTGATGAATGCGAAAAAACCGTTGTATGATTTGTTTAAAAAAAAATTGCTTAAGCAAATGTAATTACAGTGTAACGCTTCCTTTCCGCAAAAAGTCCAGAAAAGATGGAATGCAATGAAGATTCCAACTTCTCTGCACAATCACACAAAGGGGGTTACAATTAGCTTCCGGTAGCTCAGTCGGTGGCATGAAGACATCTACAGGCGTGTAGCTGTGTGTCGACCATGGCATGGCTAGAGGATAGAAGAACAAACAGAACACAAAAATTTAACAGATTTTATTTAACAAAAAAAAGGCATTTTCATTACATTACAATTTTACAAAAATAACAAAATAAGTTTTACATCTTTGGCGCTGCTATAACGCTATCGACTTATCTTTCGCTGGTCCATTTTTACTCGACTGAAGCCAGGATGGCCAGGGGCTTGAAGGGGAGGTCCCAGTTATGAGGGGTGACCTCCATATAGTGGCTTCATAACCAGTTGTAGGCGAAGTTAAAGGCGATGGCGCTGCCAAGGTACATGCATGGGTGAAAATATTGGCCAAGGCTAGGCAAAGTGAAAGGGAAAGAGAAAGGGGGTGGCCCCAATCATTTTTGTCCTATACGGACACACATTCTAGAAATCTAGCACATGGTGCTATATAACCTTGTGCTACTGAGAAGAAATTTCTAGCCGTTGTTCGATCGGCGGCTCAGGTGAAAAGGTAGCGCGAGGAAGATCGCAGATCAGGAACTCCGCATCAAGCGCTCCAAGCGGAAAATTTTCCAAGCAAAAAAGCTAGAGATGGGATTAATGAAATGATAATCGAGAAGTGATTTAATAAATACGATCGGACGGTGAAACCGTTACACTCGCCCCAACTTAACCAAAAAAAAAAAAAATCGAAGAAGCATTTAAGAATTTTTTTTTTTTTTTACTAGGAAATTGAAAGTTATCACGGAAGGACAAATGTACAACCATTCGACCAGATAACAAGTAGTAAAAGTAAGGTAGAAACAAAAATGTTAGAAGAGAATTGGAAGAAAAAGGGATAGCCTCAAGTCTACCAAACAAGAGGGATGGTTATAGCACCAACTCGCTGAAAAGTACAGTGAAGTTGCACTTAAAAAAAACTATCATCATATGATGAAAAACCCAAAACATAAAACATCGTCATACCTAAGACGAGAAAAATAATAAACCAAAAGTTTCAGCAGTAGTCCAAGCACGAACTGAGGAATCACAATGGCATCCAAAATGCACGACTGACTACTAAAAACTTCAAAACTAAGTAAGTACCTAAACCATAAGAGGTACTAAAAAAAATAATAATATTTCTCAAAACAATTGCCAGATTATCTCGCAATACTCCAAACCCAAAAAGAATATCATATACAGTGATATTTTAAACCAATATCCAATATTGAAAAAAAACAGTGCATTATTATTTTCAAAATATGAAAATCAAAAGAAATTAACAGATTCCATTAGGAATTCAAGTCATATAACAAAACAATTTACAAGTACTAAACCAATGAAAACTTGATCACGAAGGTATTTTAATCAAAAAAGATGTTAACTAAGTGCAGTTCTGATTCCACAAAAAAAAATTGTCGGGCGCCAGCAGTCTGTAAGACTACAAAATAATTTAAAATATTTTTAGAGAATTAAAGTATATAAGAGACATTCATGAAATATTGAAGAGTCAAAATATAGCTTAAGTTCAATCAATGAACTAAAATTCAAGAGTAAGTTCAATTAAGATTTTCGGGTCATGTGACAACATATGAACCAGACCAAAAAAATTCTGAAGTTCAATATAGAAAAGAGCAAAATAAATTTCCAAGAAAAACTAAGTGCAACACAAGTGCAACTGTAAATCTAATCGTATTAAAATCATAAAGTGAAAGGAAGTATCAAAGCTATATGAGCATGATTTTATAAAGGATTCTCAAAAAAAAACAAAAGTAAGCAAAACATTAAAAGTTTCATGAGTAATAATTGAGAAACGAAGTGAGCAGATGTAAAATGCAAAATAGCGAAACGAAAATCACAAGATATTTTAATAAATCATGATACATGAGAGTAATGCCGCAAGCAAAAATTGTATGCAAAAGTCTACGATATATGTAGGTGTAAAATTGGAGTTATAAAAAAACAATCTAGTGAACAAGAAATAGAAATAAATATGATAGGTAAGAATTCGAATTTTGATTTAAAGCAAAAATATGAGAGAAAGACAACTTTCTAGGGTCACCATAGGTGCATTCCAAAGCCCTAGACAAGAATGTCTATAGTCTATGGAATATTCTCATGTAGATCACTGATATCATCAGCGCACTTCAAAGTCTACACTGAGAATAACCATATCATTGTAAAATGAAAGTTAAGTTCAAATATGAAATATTACAAGATTAGAAAAACTATAATAATTTGCCAGTGTAAAGTATGAGAAGAGAATTACTATACTGAATCTATAAGAATGGGCGATTACTTCAAGTCACGACAAAAATTGAAAGAAATAAGAAGTCGAAAAAAAAACTATGAGAGCAGACTATCAAAACAAATGCAATAATGCAAAAGCAAAATCACCAGATATTTCAAAATCTATAGCGAAACATGAAAGCGATGTCGCAACCAAGCTCAAGACTTAGCAGTACGCACAAATGTGCACAAAGGCTGAAAGCATATATGAAAAATCTCAAGAAGGAATTGACAATTACTTCAAATCAAATTGAACTGATTGAATTGAACTGAGACATAAATTATCAAAAGTGAGTTTTACTTATACGCCAGAGGTTTCAAGAGTTTATCAATACGCACAGATTTGCAACTAGGCGGAAAGCATATATGACAAGTCTCAAGAAGAAAATAAAATGCATATGAAGAAAACACTTTCAATTAAAGAAACTGTGGATAGTACAAGACCCTCAAGGCATACATCGCAACGAATCTATGTAACTATCCAGACTACAGACAGTTTGAACCAAAAATCAATGTAAGTCTGTGCTCTCGAAGAAAGTTATAATGAATTCAAAAAGAGGATACTATCAAAAACTTCAAAAGTAATAGACTTCAAAAATAGAAGTACGTAAGTATGTAAAGGAAATTCAGAAAATATACGCATAAAAACATTATAAAATATTATACACAGTATTTGTCACATGATTTAGATCGGGAATGCAATTTAAATTTTGAGTACACTCAGAAAAATGAAATATTCAAAAGATGAAGTATACACATTAAATTGGAATCAGAAAAATAATGATTACTTGTAAATTTTGTACATGGTGGACTGACGTAATGGTTCAAAAGGTTGAAAGAACAACGATGACTAATGTCCAAAGTAAACATTCAGCTGCCTCTTACAGCAAATAAGTTTATTCATTATCAAAAGAAATTCTTCTCCGTTCGCATCTGTACTAGGAAATAAACATAGGAAAACCTACTCGCTCCAATGTACAGATCGAAAAACTCGCCCCCTTCGATTGAGCGGAAAAATTGGTATTAGACAAGTTGTAATGATTAAGCAAGAATAATTTATCTGAATTTTAGAATATGGGAGTATATAAAGCATA